CTCGACTAGAGGCCGAGTTTTCAGCATCCGTAGGAACACCACCACCCTTCAAGAATCAAGGCGCAGATATAAGATGCAGCTCCTGAAGCGGTTGGAGGTGAGTCAAAGACCGAAAATCCCATTCACTGCGTCCATGCTTTCCTCATGCCGGGCCACAAGCTCCCAAATGTTACAACTATGGGTCGCAGCACGGCTGGAAAAATTCCTGTTCCGCTTCGAAGGAGGATTTCAACCTGGTACCCTCTGTTTCTCAATCATGGTCGTACAAACCATTCCACTATGCCTGCCTGCCTCTCCTACTACAATATCTAAAATCCTGCAAACGTTACAACTTACAAGACATTCATGCGGCTACTGCAGACTGCAACAAACTAATGATTACTTGAAGTAGTATTGATAGCCTCCTCTGCCCTAGCTCTATCCACCCCACCGCCCCGCACCCCCCCCCCCCCCCCCTTGGCGGCCCATTTGTTCCTTACATTTTCTGTTTCCACATTATCGCCACGGCTGGCTGTCCACCACTATAAACCTCCTTATTGGCTAGCATCACGTGATTTTGAATAGATCAATAATGAGTACATTTCGTGTGCAAGAGGTACACAAAGGAAAACAAGGATTTTTTGTAACTTGTAAAACAATCGGTGTACGTGGTGTAGCCAAGGACTTGTGGGTTGCGAATTGAAGGTGCACTGAAAAGATGACAATGCTACCATGGAGCTCCAATGTTCTGAAAACAACTTGGAGTTGCAACTTAATAATCCCTTACGTTCCTTTGTGTACCTCTTGGGCACTATATTAATTCATGATTAATTAATAAAATAAATTTTCCCTCAAACCAGTTAATATTTCCCTCAAACCAGTTAAAATAAATTTTATTAATAATTCTCCGGTGTACAGCGCTCTACCCATCACTGGCCTTGGCCACACTCAAGCAGTTAAAGGTACTACCAAGAGTACCTGAAACCGTTTCATGTACTCTTGGTAGTACCAGTAGTAGTTTGTTCAATTTTTGAATTGTTTGCTCTCCTTGCTTTCCTTGCATTCAGATAATCAGAGCTTTGTGCGTTCAAGAAAACACCTTTTAGTACTACATGAAGTACTCTATTATTTTCTATCGGAAGCCTCAACAGTGATGAACACACTTTTTTAAGAGGGCCGATAACAGAGTAGAGGGGTGTGGGTTGAGAAAAATTATAATTTTTTTAGAAAATATTATTATGTATAAAAAAAGAGAAGAAAACACTTGAGAACGAGTATGCAGCAACTATCCACGACCGTAGACAGTCGTGGATAGTTGCGGCATAACTCGTTCTCATGTGTTTTCTTCTCTTTTTTTTACATTTATTACTGGCTCAGTATCCGAGTTAAGACTATTATGCGAGGGATTGATGGGATAAAGGCAAGGTGCACTGCCTCGGTGGACAATGCAAGTGTATTGCCCTATTCAAAATTTAAATAATAATAATAAGGCCACACGTTTTTATATCTATGTTTTTCGTCACCCGCGCGCATACGATTCAGGAGTCTGGAGGAAAAAAAGAAAAAGAAAATGTGCTGCACTGACTGTGCATGTGGGGACCTGCACACTCATGCACATGTACATAATGTGGCCTGGGCTGTTCGACACATATGATGCGAGGTCACCAATTATTGTGCACAATCTAGCTGCACATGCACAGATTGTGACAGAAGCTCCTACCACATACTAGTTGCTAACTATGGATGCTATTTTGCATGGTGCATTGGTGGATTTTAGTGTGAACAAAGGTCTAATAAACTTTTTTTTATTTTTTGGTCATTTTTTTATTTTTTTCACCTCTCGCCTACGTTTTTAGATTTTCAGGTGACGAGAAACATAGAAATAAAAACGTGTGGCCTAAAAATAATAATAATAAGTGTAGTACCCGATCACGTGACTTGCACCTCTCTGACACTGGGTGTCCAGACGCAATGCCGTCTCACTCCTGCAGGAGATTAGCATTTCCCAGCCGAGTCAATGTTCGTTATGCTGCTTCCCCTCCAAATTGTCCACACTCAGTGACAACACTCAGATGTTTTGAAAGGATTGGGAGAACTTCAAATTTCAAAGGAGCTTTGCTCATGATCTTTGCTCAAGGCTCTGGGTTCGGCTCCCCATGGGTCCGGCATTTTTTTGGTCTTTTCAGGCAGTTCACTTCCCCGACTGATCCTTTGAAACACTCAGATGGTTTGTCTTTTCTTCCTCGCAGGCTGGTTGTCCCGATTGGGCGTCGGCCGCATCACTTCCACTCTAGCCAAGCTCGATAATGACGTCACTGCACTGCGGAGCAACATGTCCGCCGTGGGACAACAGACCTCCGACCAAGTGTCTGCCTTCCTCGGCAAATTGGAACGGAAAATTGAGGCGGCCTTGACCAACCTGGATGATAAACAACGTTCAAATGAACGTCGAATTGAAAATGCCGTTGCCATGGCATTGACCCTGCGCAACACAACACGCGACCTTCAAAGCAGAATCCAGGTACGTTCACACTGAATTATAGTAAAAAAGGAAAAGGACAAAATGTTATGAGTTATGACTAATGTTGTCCTTCTTTTTTACCATAATTAAATTGGCTCACCATCCGAGTTCAACTGAATTTTAGGGCAAGCAAAATTACCGTGTGGCCAGGCCTGCTCCCTAGCTGTCATGTCCTGAACATGGACCATAATGTATGTAGTGCGCATGCTCGCACAGGAGCTTGGTCTTTTTCGGATATGGAGTTTGAGACGAACTGAAATCTGTAATAGCCTCGAGTGTGTGTGTGATCGAGCTGGATGAGTCCGAGTAGAACCCACCTGGGGTAGGACACAACAACTGGCGACGAAGATATGGCTCGGATATCATCGCTTCAGCCGTTTACCGGCGGCGACTTTGAAGAGTTTGAGGAAAGACTTGAATTCTATTTCTTTGCCAATGATATTGGAACCGTGGCTGCTTCGGCCAATGCTGCAGACAAGTTGGCTGCCAGCAAGAAAAGGAAGGCTGTATTAGTGAGTTTGCTGTCTGCGGAAGTCTACTCGATTTTGAGGAGCCTCTGTCTGCCAGCGAAAGTAGCTGACAAGAAACTGTCGGAGATTTGCGATCTTTTGAGGAAGTATTTTCAACCTGCAATTTCGCAAGTTTCGGCGACGTTCAATTTCCATCAGTTGAAGCAGAAGGAAAATGAGTCGACTGCGGATTTCATCATTCGTCTGAAGAGATTGGCTGTGAGGTGTGAGTTTGCTGATCACCTCGATCGAGCGCTTCGAGACCAGTTTATTGCTGGCTTGAGCAGCTCATCCACTCGAAATTTCTTATTGACGAAAGAAGATACTTCGGCACAGTCGTTCAATGACATCGTCAAACTAGCTTTGACGCAGGAATCGGCTGCGCGCGCGGCCGCGCAGCTGACCTCTCAGCAGGAAGTGCACAAGGTGAATCACCGGCCAGTGGAATCGCGTTCGCAGGCGCAGTCTGGTGTTTCTCGTCAATCTCATCAATCTCGAGAGCAGAGATTGTGCTACCGCTGTGGGTCTACTCAACACTTGGCGGATAAGTGCAAACACAAGGCCACTGAGTGTCGTCACTGCCACAGGAAGGGGCACTTGGAGTGTGTTTGTCGGCAGAAATCTACGTCAGGCGCGTCGGTGCACAATGTTGTGACTGATGACGCAGGTGAGCATGAATCTGCTGATCTTGAGTGCATGCCAATGTTCCACATTTCGGATCAGGGCGAATTGAAGAGCAAATCTGTGCCCTCCTACAAATTGGAAATTGCTGTGAATGATGTTCCTGTTGTAATGGAAATCGACACGGGCAGTGGCATTTCAATCATTTCTGTCCATGATTTTTGAGTCACTTGGGGTGTCTCGTACAAATTTAACCAAACCGAGTGTACGCATGACCGGTTTTTCTGGGGCAGAAATCAAATGTATTGGTGAAGGGAAGTTCAATGTCAGCATTGATGGTGTGGAGAAACCAACACTACTCCGTGTGGTGGATAATGGTGGTCCGTCATTGTTGGGCAGGGATATGTTGTCCCAATTTACTCTACCGTGGAAACAGATTGTCAATGTCAATCATGTTCAAATGGATGGTAGGAGGAGAGCTCTCATTGAGGAATTTGAGGAGCTATTCGATACGACTCAGGTTGGCAAGCTGAGGTCGGCTCAAATCACCCTGAGAGTGGATGATTCTGATCCAATTTTCCACAAGGCGCGTCCCGTACCGTTCTCTATCACGGAGAAGTACGAGGAGGCTTTGGAGAAATTGGAAGCAGAGGGAGTTATTCGCAAAGTTGAGCACTCCAAATGGGCATCGCCTACTGTGCCAGTACTGAAATCGGATGGTAGTATCTGAATTTGTGCTGATTACTCTCGCTCAATCAATGCCAAGTCTGATTTGGAGCACTACCCGCTACCTACTATTGAGGAAATGTTAGCGAAATTGTCGGGGGGAGATAAATTCACCAAATTGGATCTCTCCCAAGCCTATCACCAACTGGAGCTTGATCCAGCTTCTCGGCCGTACACAACAATCTCTACTCACAAGGGGTTGTATGAATACGTGAGATTGCCGTTTGGCATTCACTCGGCAGTGGCAATTTTCCAACGCACAATGGAATCCATATTGGCAGATCTGCCTGGGTGCATCGTCTATGTGGATGACATCCTGATTACTGGGAAGGATGAGGATGAACACCACAACAACCTGATCAGGGTACTACGTCGCCTACAGGAGGTCGGGATGAAGCTTAATCCCAGTAAGTTTCATTTCATGATGGATGAGATTTCCTACCTGGGTCACACGATTTCTAGTGCTGGTGTGGCTCCTACAGCGGATAAGATTGAGGCAATGCGGGACGCTAAGGCTCCTTTGAATGTTATCGAGCTTCAATCATTCATTGGAACGGCGAATTTCTTGCGATGGTTCATACCTCATTTCGCAACAATAATGGTACCTCTGTACAATCTGGTGAAGAAATCTGCTGAATGGCAATGGGACCCCGGAATTTCAGTGCGGCCAAGCTGTCCTGGCTTTGAATTTCGGCAAAGGAGGAGATAAGTGGGCCCCAGCCGTGGTCACGGCTGTTCTCAGTCCGATGACGTATCAGATACAAGTCGGTGATGCAATGTGGAAACGCCATCGCAACCAGCTCCGTCCTCGGCAAATCCCTCAGTTCGATGCAGGGGTGTCTGAGCAGAGTGGAGCAAGTTTAACAGCCCAGGCACAGCCGTCACTCAGCAACAACGACGCCAGTGTCACGGCAGCGGAGCTAGGCGCGCCGGTCTCAGCAACAACCGGTACGAGTGAGTCTGCGTCGGTTAGCACTTCACGTGCCAGCTACAGCAAGACGTCGTCACCGCAAGCTGAACGACGGTCAACCCGCGCTACTGTTCGACCAGTTCGTTTCAAGGATTGACGTTCAGAACACACAGTTCATATAGACCTATTCTAGTCTGTGGAGTTTTAATGATATATTTTGGACTCTGCTGGATATTGTATATAATTATATATTTATGGTGTAAATATGGTGTATAGTGTATCATGAAATATTATGTCTCGGCAGTTTTGAGTTTTGAGATTGCATGTTGATATGTTTACTATTGCATAGTTCTAGATGCTTCGCCTCAACTAGTGAGGGGGAAATTGTCATGTCCTGAACATGGACCATAATGTATGTAGTGCGCATGCTCGCACAGGAGCTTGGTCTTTTTCGGATATGGAGTTTGAGACGAACTGAAATCTGTAATGGCCTCGAGTGTGTGTGTGATCGAGCTGGATGAGTCCGAGTAGAACCCACCTGGGGTAGGACACAACACTAGCCAACATCTTCGTTTTTCAAAAAGAAATTCATTTTTTTAGAAAAGAAAAAAGGACCAAGAAACCGTACAAGTTACTCTATAATGTCCACTAACACCACCAGTTACTAAACAATCAGGTCATGCGATTATATTGCACGACACTGACCGCCGGTACTGACGTTCTACAACTAACTGGCTAACAGCTCTGGTAGCACATCTTGAATGCGCACTCCAACAGCCTTCCAACTTGGAAGGTTCTAAATTATAGAAATAGCATGAGGAGACTGGAGAGGAAGGTGAGCGCAACCAAGACAAGCACGAACTGAAAGTCTCAGCTGTGAAGGACGTTGGCGGATGTTCATGCATGTCGATGACGATACTGGCAAGACCACTGGACAATACGGTCAAACCACGATTCAAGGACGCAAAGCAACATTCAACACAACTTGTGTGCATTATGTTATCGCATGAGCTGAGTCTTTAGTAACTGGTGGTGCTAGTGGACATTTATAGCATAACTTGTAGTTTCTTGGTCTTTTTTCTACACTACAAATTTATCCCTGGCTCTCCATCCGAGTCCATTTTTTTAGACTTAGACTTTAGAGGAGATGTGATCTACTTGTACATGTACTGTGCAGCATTGGTAACTTGGTCAAAATGGCTACAAAACACAAGCATAACTATAGCAAAGCCAATTTAGTAACCCAACCTTTTCGTTTACTTATCATGGGTAAATACAGGGAATAATGGAAAAATGTCAAAATAGGAATGAGTTTGCTCCCACACTGGAGCTCGCGCTATTCCGCCGCCGACTTGACACTTGACTGACTCACGACTGCCATCCAGAGAACACGAGAAGTCCATCGAACCTTCGACTCAGCAAACCTGCAAGAAAGCACCACTCCCTGCTCAATACACAGTGTTTCGGGGAATTCACCCCTCATCAGTTGAGCTTGAGTAGGCTGAGGAAGATTGTGCCTGAAGAGCACCAGTGTGGGAGCAAACCCATTCCTAAACAAAATCATCGCCGAAGTCGCAACCTCTATTTCGTAATGTCAAAATACAGCAATTTATAGAGCTAAAGCAACTTGACTGTGGATTGCGTTGGTGCTGACACGTTTTTCGAAAGTGGATACGCCTCCAATTTTTCTATGGCAGTGGTCATTGATGGTAACGCAGTTCTATGCATGGCGGGCATAGAGCTGGCGTCTGGCATAGACCTGGCGTCTGGCATAGAGCTGGCATCTGGCATAGAGCTGACGTCTGGCATAGAGCTGACGTCTGGCATAGAGCTGGCGTCTGGCATAGAGCTGGCGTCTGGCATAGAGCTGACGTCTGCCATAGAGCTGACGTCTGGCATAGAGCTGACGTCTGGCATAGAGCTGACGTCTGGCATAGAGCTGACGTCTGGCATAGAGCTGGCGTCTGGCATAGAGCTGACGTCTGGCATAGAGCTGGCGTCTGGCATAGAGCTGACGTCTGGCATAGAGCTGGCGTCTGGCATAGAGCTGGCGTCTGGCATAGAGCTGACGTCTGGCATAGAGCTGACGTCTGGCATAGAGCTGGCGTCTGGCATAGAGCTGGCGTCTGGCATAGAGCTGGCGTCTGGCATAGAGCTGACGTCTGCCATAGAGCTGACGTCTGGCATAGAGCTGACGTCTGGCATAGAGCTGACGTCTGGCATAGAGCTGGCGT